GGAGAGAGAACGCGATCATGGGCTGCGGCGAGGGTACCTGCCAAGATGTCGAACTTGAGGCCTTTCACTAAAACCTTTCGTGCCGGGGAAAAAAAAAAACTGAAATAAAGATCAACGTTAATATTCGATATCGGTAGGCCTTCAAAGATATATCTCGAAGAATTTCTTTTTATTTGGGTGTCATACACGCCAACTCGTCAAGCCAAACAAAAACGAAAAAAAACAATGCTCACAGAACGTTCGGTCTTGATGAGAAATAATGCATCGTAGTTAGATGGCGAGATGTCGTGTAATCTTGATTTATTGGTCGAGTACTTGTGCGCGTAGTATATAGACGGAGATAAAACGCGTTGATTTCTTGTAGATATTTTGACGCGTGAGGTTGCCTGTCACAGGGCGTTTTGAAATTTTGGTCTAACCTGCCAGTGTATAGATTGCTTTTGTTCGCTTACACTGTATCGACATTGCGAAAGGAAATGTTGCACATCAGTATCACTGACACGGAGTGTCGAGACTTGACGCGCAGAAAAAAAGAGCCGCCAAGAGGACAACATGAGTGACTTCGATCATGTAAGAAAGAACAAAAACTGCAAACGACTGAGAGATCAAGAAAAAAATAATCCTAGACAATAGGCTCCAATCATGCAGCCCATGGTTGTTTCATCAGGGCAATAATTTACGTTTGGTTTGAAAAGAGTTGTGATACATCAACTCCCTATTTTTATTACCACAAAACTGAATACATGAAGTACAATGTCTTTTCATTGGGGCAAGCGGCCCGTTATGGAAAGCACAAAAAAAGCTATACATTGTATCAATATTGTTGAATCTTGCTGGTAATTTATTTGCGAAGGCTACTGGTAAGCTTCGCCAAACATTTTGTGATGTTTAATAAAATCGAGAATAAAAAAAAAACAGAAGACGGGACAGAAAAAAAGCATGCTTCTTGACTTAACTCGAGATTTTGTTTTAAAACATTTAGTGATTTTTTGCTATCAAGTCAGAAAAGATCGAATATTCATTGCATTGGTTATTTTCCTCGAGTCTTTTTAAAAAGGTACAATTTTCTCATACTGGCCTAAAATAAAAAAGAACTGAGCTTTTTTTTTTTCTTTCGAACAAATGGTCTAGCGCCTTTTGCGCAGTAGATGTTGGGGTTGTCTTAGGAAATGTCTTTGAGGGTTAAATGCACATTTACCGAGAGAAGCAAAATAACCACGGCTTCAAGAGAATTCCGTATTATATGGCGTCTGTTTAAGGTCAGGGAACCCCAAAAAAGGTGTCACGTGATTTTATCGAGTTGTGTAGCACGGATGAAAAATATTATGAATAAACAGAGACTTGAAAAGAAAGAACGATTAAGGAGAATCGAACCCGTGCCTACAAGATTCTGAACGCCGCACTTCACCCACTGTGCCAAGGTGCTTATTTTAAATTAAAAGACGGGTTTTATATGTATGGATAATTTGCCAGGGGTTCTTACATATATAATGCAAGCTTCCAAAACAGGCAACCCAGGTCCACAATACATTAAGTGCAGTCTACAAATCAAAATAAAAGCAACCATCGGTACCGGGCGGGAAGAAAACTCCAGCAGCCAAAGGAAGTCCTCACCTGACCAATGCCCACGCATTCCGAGCCCAGCCTTCAGCGTCTCCAGACACTCTAGTCCCTCGTTCTCTGTAGCCACTTTCAGTGAACTGGCATAAGAGAAACCATTAACAAAAAGTCTCCACGCTGGTTTTCTTTCCACGACAACAATGGGGTTTTTCGTTCTGACCACCACAGTGCATAAAAGCCAAGGATGGCTAGATCCTCAAATGCTCGACCACCTTCGCCCCCTGACCCATACTCAAGAAACATCGCACTTCGCCATGAAACATTACGACCCACTCTTTGGACCGCAGGCAATTGTGGGCAAAAGAGTTTTGCATTAGTGCAGTACGGGATAACATCTTGCAGCGTTTCTCGCCAAGAACAGAGAGCGTAATTCGTAGACCAATGTTCGGAAAAATTTGTTTTATTAACTATGTTTTTGCAGGTAAAACTCTTACATGCAACCGAAGAAATAGACTTTGTTGCTGGTTTAAAGGGAAATGGGATCGTTTGAAAACGTCCAACTCAATTTACGTTCTCTCTCACATTGGGTAAAGTGAAACTAGAATTAGCATGTTAAGCGCGTCCCAGCAAAGCGTCTTTCGTTTCACCTTGTCAATGTATTCTTCAAAAACCGGTCTTCAAAAAAATTACTATAAGCTATAAGCTTCAATTTCTTTAGAATACTTAAGCACCCGCGAGCGGGAAGCCTAAGCTTCGCTCTCTAGCCATTGTTGTAGAAAACGTCCTCCCAATACCTTGAAGGACGATAAAAAATGGTCGTTCTTTTGCCCGCAAGAAAAATAAAGCGGTGCACTTTTTACTTAAGTTCACCATTTACTAAACCAAGGCCATCCTTTGGCAGGCTCAGAAACAAGTGGCCGCACCTCATGCGCTGTAAAGGTGATTCCAACACGAAAGTGGCAAAGAAACGGTGCACAGTGCAAATTTCACTTGACGCGTACGGCCTCGCTTGGGACGCATACCATATGGATAGAAAAATAAACACACATTGGACACAAAGGCCCGACTAGACTGCGACATCTCTCTACCCTGCCACTCTAACACTTTGACCCTTAACTGACTCAGAGCTATTAGCCCACCTCCCATGCTGAGGCGCTCGATGTTCAAATTCACTCCCAAGTAGTTCCTGACCGAGTCAGAAAAACTGGTGCTGAGAAATTTTTCCGGCTTAAAGTTCCAGTTACCGAGCCACGCTCCCATCGACTTCTTGGCATTCTTTTGGGTACCTGAGGTACTGAAGAAGTCGCCGATATGTTGTACAGCTGCATGCACTTGTCCTCTCGACGAGTACAGTACTGTCACATCGTCCGCATATGCAAACACATTCATGGAGCGCGCCGGCAAAGCGAATCAGTGGGGGTTCACATAACCCGCGATAGCTCTGCACAGAGGCTCGAGGTAAAGCGCAAACGGGATGGGCCACATTGGCCATCATTGATGGACAGATCTGTTTATGGGAATAGAGGTAGTCCTGTTCCCGTTCACCAACAGGTAAATCGAGACGTCTCGGCGGCACAGCCGCACGTACTTCAGCAGCCGCCCTCCGGCCCCACAATACTCTAGGAGGCTGAAGAGGAAAGAGTGAGAAACTTGATCGAAGGACTTGCTCAGGTTCGCTTGAAGCGCTGCGAGGCGGCTTCGCACACGAACGATTCACGTAGTGTGTAGATTGGTGGCGATGGTTCTCCCTTTCAGACGGTAGCTTTAGCGTTCGCCTACAACAACCATTGCGCTAACGTCGAGCCGTGGGGCAAGTATCTTGGCCAGCACATTGTAGTCCGTTGGTAGACAGCTGGTAGGACGGAATTTGTCTACGCAGTATTCTCCCTCTCCATGCTTCTTCGGGACGAGAACGTTCAGCGCCTTGTAAAATAATTGTAACTGAACAGAGACTGACATAAGACTCTTGTCCGTTTACAAAGAAGAAGAAGATGAAAGGGCGGGGGCTGGCGCGAGGGAGCCATTGGGTCGGTAAAACGAAGGTTTCCAACAAAGTCGGTTGTCCTGTCTTTCACGAATCGACCTCACAAGGTCACCGACAAACTCATCAGTCGACGAATAGAGAGCTTCAATGTGCAACAATTAATGGTGCAAGACACCCGAGACCTTTGGAAGCGAGGAATCAACATCAGGATGGATTGGCTGAAGACGAAGCGGAGGGTTCGACGGAGCCAGAACACGAAGATAATTACCGATATCACGACTGCGCTCCAGTCAACAACCCTTGACATCAACTCCCTGAAGAACCTACGAGACAGGCTGATCGCCAGCAACGAGGAACTCCGCAAGGTCAACGAAGAGATTGAGCCGCTGATCACCGATGCCGACCTCGAAGCGGACTACGTTGCTGTGGCAGACACCAACGACGAAGTAGCAAGAGCCCTCAGTGAGGTACGCAACAAAATGGAGCGTCAACCGGCAGCACCAGCCATTTACCAGGTGGGAGACGACGGTGACAGAGTCATACCCCAGGCCACGGGCGTGAAACTCCCTAAACTACAACTACTGCAGTATCAAGGTGAGCTTACCCTCTGTCAGCCCTTCTGGGAGCAATTCCAAACTGCCGTTCACCGTAACAATATCTAGGCTCCCCGCTAAGTGGGCCAGCTGCCAGTGCTATCTCCGGGCTACAAGCAATGGCAGAGTGCTACAAAGACGCCATAGAAATACTATCCGAACGCATCGCGAACAAGCAACGCATTCAGCGTGTGTACCTCTAAAGTCTGCGAAGCCTACCAACGGTGAAGTCAGATCGAGATGCATGAGGACTACGGAATATTTACGACCACGTCCAGACCAACATTCGTGGCTTGCGTGCCCTAGGCGTTTCGAGTGCAACGTATTCTACTATGATGGTGGACGTACTCCTGTCCAACCTCCCAACCGATATAGTGGTAGAGTACCATCGACTCTAAAGATACGGGATAGGGCTTGGAGTTCCAATTAATGGGAGAGAAAGAGCCGGAACGACTGACGATGGACAACCGTTGGACGACGTCTCGCCTTCGCCAACAGATGCAGGTGAGGAGTTGGATAAACTCTCGCGTTTTATGCGCGTGGAGATAGAGAGCAGAGAACAGTCATCGCCACTCGAGCGAAGGCCGACAACCGTGCCAACAGTGGCTCAAAATCAGAGGCAAGGCGGCAATCCACCATCAACGTTGGTGTTGCACACTAGCGGAACAGACAACACCTGCTTCTTTTGCAACTACCGAGCTCACCGTACCGGTGATTGTCCATCGGATATCACACTAGATGAGAGAAAGAAAATGCTAGCGCAAGACATGAGATGCTTTCGTTGCACGAAGCGAGGTCACCGATCAAGGGATTACCGTAGTCAACAGAGATGTACCAGATGCAGGGGAAGACATGTCACCTCAATGTGTTACCCGGCGTGGGAAGCTTTCTCAACAGTTCAGGAGACTGCCAACGTTCTTACCGCCGGTAGTACCCCGACAGTACAGACTCCGAGCGCCCTATTACAAACGTTCCGAAGCTGGGTTGGAACCGGCCTGAACCGAGCTTACATCCGCGGCGTTATCGACGGAGGGAGCCAAAAGACTTTCATCAGGGAAGACTTGGCTAGGAAGCTTAACTTGAAGGTTGTCGGGGAACGTATCATGCAACTCAACATCTTTGCTTGCAGTGACTCAAACAGGTCTAGGCAGAAGTTCACCGTAGTTAGAATTCATATTAGGGGCCAATATAAGACAACGGATCATGTCTTAGAAGCAGTCGTCGTGCCTTTCATCTGCCAAAACATCATAGAAACTCCAGTAGAGCACACATTTCTCAAGACTATCCCAGGAGACATCGCCGACAAGTTGATGTTTCCATCGAGTCAAGTGGAAGCGGGCATAAGCCTTTTAATTGGAGCGGACCAGATGTGGAAATTGTTGACCGGCGAGACACGCCACTCATCTTGCAACACCGGGCTAGTAGCCATCGCAACGACTTTGGGATGGACCTTTCAGGGTCCAACGAGCACAGTGAGTGTCTTATCAGATAATACCACAAATTTGATGGTGTACGTGTTGAACGTGGGATGGGCTGACGAAGAAGAGGATGCAGCGTTAAAACATTTCTGGGAACTAGAGACCATTGGAATCGTGGATGAACCTATGGATAAGAAACAACAGGAAGAAAAGGTGTTTGAGCAATTCAAGGAAAACATCAGACATAAGAACGGTCGGTACGAGGTCGCGTTGCCGTGGAAGGAGACAAAAACGACCCTTGGAGATAATTACATGATTGCCAACACCAGACTCCGAAGTCTAGTACGCCGTCTCACACAAGATGGCTCTATCGCCCAGTATGACAAAGCAATACGTAGTTACTTTAAAGATGGACACGCCGAAGAGATAGAATTAAATGCATCAACCTACAGGCACGTTTATTACATGCCTCATCGAGCAGCAATTCGACTTAACTCGGAGTCAACTAGACTTAGAGTAGTATTCGACGCATCTTCCCATGCAGCAAACACCGGATCTCTCAATGATCACCTTGAAAAGGGTCCAACGATCAACGCGGAGCTTTTTCCCGTCCTACTTAGACTTCGAATGCAGAAGGTGGCCATCACAGCAGACACACAGAAGGCGTTTTTACAAATAGTAATCTCGGAGCGTGACAGGGATGCGCTCCGGTTTCTTTGGTTTGAAAATACACCCAAACCCAACGAGCCACTGCCAAACACGAAGGAGTGGCGCATGACGAGGGTTCCTTTTGGAACAACGTCCAGTCCCTTCCTACTCGGGGCTACGATACAGCACCACTTGCAAAACGTGAGTGGACCTAACAGCGACCTCGCAACTATTTTACTCCGATCCTTTTACGTGGACGACCTGCTAACTGGAGCAGCGAACATTAAGGAGGCACAGCGACTCGCTGACGGAGCAATGACTTTACTCAGGAAAGCAGGCATGGAACTGCAAAAATGGAACGCCAATTCTTCTCAACTCTAGAAACTCTTTGATCAAAGAGCAGATAACGTCGATCATTCATCCGAAAATAAGCCATTTAAGTCCCCCGAGGTCACCAACATGTTGGGATTGGTGTGGGATAAAAACGCGGATTATTTCAAGTTCTCTGCTCATCAACTCTTGGAGATACTTTCTACAAATCTGAACACAAAGCGCTCCGTACTCAAGGCCTCGGCTAGGATTTTCGATCCCCTCGGTTTCCTGTCGCCGTATGTCATAAGAGGGAAAATTTCATTCCAACGTATATGGCAATGCGGACTTGGATGGGATGAGGTTCTGACAGAGGCTCTTTTGCAAGAGTGGAAATCCTGGTGCGCCGATTTAACGGAATTACCACAAATCACGACGCCGAGATATCTGCTGGGTGTCGAAGGTGAAAGCGAGCTGGTGATTCACATCTTCACCGACGCTAGCCCTCTGGCGTATGGTACCTGCGCATATCTCCGTGCAGTGAACAGGAAAGGAGAAGTCAGCGTGAATCTGATATTTTCCAAGGCTAGAGTTGCTTCACTGAAGACACTAAACCTTCTACGACTAGAACTGATGGGAGCGCTATTGGGGGCGCGCATTGCTACATATCTTCGTAGCTCATTGTTGGGCCACACCGTTACAATATGGTACTGGACAGATTCTACTATAACACTTGGTTGGATTAAGGGATTGGCAGCCGAGTGGCAACCCTTTGTGTGCAATAGGGTGGCAGAAATACAAGCACTCAGTGATTCGTCCAGTTGCCACCACTGCCCAGGTTACGAGAACCCAGCCGACGCTTTCACTAGAGGAAAGACTGTAGTACAGCTAGAGACTCAACAGGTACGGTGGTCAGGGCCGGAATGGCTTGCCCTCGAACAGCGAAACTGGCCAGTTAGTACACCCGTAGAGAACCTTGAAGACATTGATGGGGAGAAACAGCAGCGAACCGGAAACGCTGCTGACTGTTGTACATGAACAAGCTGCGCTTTTTACGATTGAAACTTTCAGCAGCTACACCAAGATGTTGCGGGTAATTGCTTGGGTTAAAAGATTTGAGCACAATTGCCGCCAGAATAATGGGTCAGCTGAACTACCATTGACTACAGAAGAGATGACGGATGCGGAACTTTTCTGGATTAAACACACTCAAAATGAGTGCTTCGATAAGGAGATACAAGAGATGATACAAACTGGGAGAATTGCTACAAGATCTAAAATAAGTGATCTACAGCCGTTTCTTGATGAAACCGGAATCATGCGCATACAAGGCAGTCTTCATCAAGCTACCTTGACGAAAGACGTAAGACACCCTATCCTTTTATCGGGGGACCACCCGTACACTAAGCTGCTGGTCACTGCAACACACCTTAGAACAGTATACGGAGGCCTGCAGGCCACATTGAGAGAACTACGTGAAAGATTTTGGCTGCCAGGAGCACGAAGAATCGTGAAGAAGATCCTCGCTCAATGCCGGACCTGTCGGTGGTTCAGCGCAAAGCCAGCCACGGCTCCAGTAGCTCCACTACCGCGGGACAGGGTGGAAGAGGGACACCCATTTCAGGTTGTAGGAGTCGACTTTGCGGGGCCGTTATTCGCCAGCTCAAAGGGACAATGTGCTAAAACGTACATTGCTCTCTTCACTTGTGCGACTACTCGCGCAATACACCTCGAGTTAGTATCCTCTACGACCACCGCATTGTTTCTCTTGGTTTTCAGGAGATTCGTGGCTAGAAGAGGAATTCCGACCACAATTTATAGTGACAACGCATTAACATTTAAAAGAGCAGCGAAGGATCTGAAAGCTCTATGGGAGGCTATTCGCAGTACCGGAACACAAGACTTCTGCAGTACCCACCGAATAGCCTGGAAGTTCATCGTAGAGCGGGCCGCCTGGTGGGGCGGCTGGTGGGAAAGAATGGTGCGATCGGTGAAAACCTGCATGAGGAAAGGTCTGGGACGACGAAGTCTGTCTTTTGAAGAGCTAACTACTGTACTGACCGACATCGAAGCAGCAATCAACTCTATACCCTTGACCTACTTACACGCAGATAACAGCGAACCAACAGCCTTAACTCCGGCTCACTTACTCATCGGACGACGATTGACAACCCTGCCAGGGACGGAGCCGCCACACCCAGTCGCGTCCTCAAGAGGTGCGCTTTCACGACGGTGGCAATATCGACAGAAGCTCATGAACAATTTCTGGGTACGCTCAAAAAAAGAATACCTCCTAGAGCTTCGATCAGCACACCTAGCAACGCCTTTAACAGCCGACCACCGAAAATTGGAGACGTGGCACTTCTGCACGACGACATTGCCCCGAGACATCTGTGGACCTTGGTTCGTGTCATTGATGTACTATCTGGAAGAGACGGAAATCTGAGGGCATGTTCCATAAAACTACCATCCGGTTCAGTGACACGAAGACCAGTACAACTGCTGTACCCATTGAAAGCCATTTGAACTTCAATGTATTTCCTCGCGTTGTGGGGGCGGGGAGGATATATGTAAAATAATTGTAATTGAACAGAGACTAACATAAGACTCTTGTCCACTTACAAAGAAGAAGATGAAAGGGCAGGGGCTGGCGCGAGGGGAGCCATTGGGTCAGTAAAACGAAGGTTCCCAACGAAGTCTTTCGTTGGGAACCTTCCTGTCTTTCACGAATCGACCTCACAAGGTCACCGACAAAGTCATCAGTCGACGAATAGAGAGCTTCGATGTGCAACATGCCTGTCGCATGGATGGCGGCAGCAGATTGCGTCGCAGAGCATCTCCGAAGATGTCACGAAGGATCGGGGCAAGTTCACTCAGGAACGCCTTATAGGGAGCACTGCCAAAACCATCGATCCCTGGGGACTTCAGTGGAGCGAGTTATTCAATGGCCCTCTCGATGTTTGCGACGGAACGCTTCTTCTTAATTTCCTTTCGCAGCTCCTCCTATAATTTTGGAAGCGGCACTCCGAGTGGCCGGAGCGGCTAAAGGCTTTCCGTTTCTGTAAATGAATTCATGTTCGCTGTACCGAAAGCGTTTACCATATCGTCTTCCTCCGTCACCGGCGTGTCTTGGACACAAAGTGACGTCACCCGCTTCTGGGTGGCACTCTTCCTTTTCTTTTTGAATAATTTTTTTTTCGGCTTTTCGTCTGTCTTTAACGCCAACGTGCGATAGCGAATTATTGCCCCTCGGTACTGCTCCTCGAGGATCTCGAGAGGCCGCCCCTCCCAGTCACTCATGTCTTCAGTGAAGACAATAGGAGTCTTGATTTCCTCCTTGAACAGAGTTGAAAGCATTTTCATTCGTGCGCGCTTTTACGCTCGTGCTTGGGCTGCTATTTCATGACTGAATTTGCGCGCGGACCACTTTATACCTTCTTTCAGCACTTTCCACTGAATTGTGTTGATCGGGAGATTTTTTTAGCACCTCGTAAGATTTTCTTTATTGTCTCGCAAAGCTTTTCGCCTTTCGAAAAACTCTCGTTTATTTTCCAGCCGCTCCACCATGATGACGCTAAGTGTTCTGCGAGCAACCGTTCCCATCGAAAGGATGACGCATGCATGATCCGAAAAAGCTATGGGGACGGCTTCGTAGATAAGGCCGGCGGTGGCCAGTCCGCTTGAAACGTAGACCCTATCGAGCATTACGTAGAAGTAAGGCTCGATGGGGTATCCTCCCCGGGATTCAGTGGGTGAATCCCGGGAAGGGGACTGTCGTCAGCTGGGTGACGTCTTGAAGGTTGATGTCTCGAAGCAGCATGAGCAGCTCGATCAAATTCGAGTCTGCTTTTGCGCCCTTCGAGCAATTCACCGGATTCAAGACACAATGAAAGTCACCGGCAAGCACAGTTTTTCACGGGGTATCCATGTGCAGTCGCAAGGACTCGATAAGTTATTTCTGGTTCGCTGCGTCGCTCGAAGCTTAGAACGACGCCAACTTGCAAATTTCATTTTGGTATATCACCCCTACCGCGCAAATTCTTCCATTCATATTTGTTTCATCTCCGGGCAAAAATTTATGCCTCTTCTTTTTCTAACCATGACGACCTTTCCAGTGCTCTTTATCCCGGTAGACATGAAAATCGCGTAGTTCTGCGCTACAACGCGAGCAATGACATCAACTTCTGCATTCATGGACAGTTTAGTTTCTTGCAGAAACATCCCCTCAACCTTCTTTTCAAGAAAGAAGTTGAACACCCAATGTTTACGTGGTTGTACTAATAAACTGACGCAGTTTAACGTGGCAAACCTTATACATTTGACGTTTTAGTTTATATCGCTGTTTCAGCCAGAGTTAAAGCCGATGAAGAGCGAAAGAAAAGAACAAAATGCCTCCACCTACTCCGGTGGTTTCCGGCGGTGGTCCGTGTGAGGTCGTGGCATTGGGTTTAACCTACCTGGCCCGTCGTCAATCGGTGGCCTTTTGCCGCTTGCGGCCCGACCGTCGCGTTTGGTCGTCATTCGCAACGCGCTGGTCTAGGGTAGGCTTCAAATTTTAACCGGAGTTGCTCTGGTCGTAATCGTCATCAGTCGCCACCTCGGCTGCAACGTCCTGGTCTTCCGCGGATTCCGAAGCCTGCCTCTTCACCGTGACGGCGTTCACTGGAACCTTGACTTCCCCGCCGCCGGGCGTGCTCACCGTAGGTGCTACGGAGACGTCTGCAGGGGGCCACTGTGACTAGAGGAGACTTGGATAACGTGAGATAACTTTGCTATGCCAGGGGGCAAAGCATCTGGCTAACAGTGTGGCTACATAATATGATCCTGTTACGTAATTTCATGTCACGGAAAGATTAAAAAGACCTGGGGATAGTAGTTAAGCTTATAGGAGACGCGTCACTATATCAAATTAGCCACAAAAAAAAAACATGTCTAAACTCAACCACATACCGCAGAGCATACCACGGAACGACACATTATGTATATACTGACTTTCTACGGTGGATGAAGGAATTTTCTTTGTCTTTTGCATAAAGAATTTCTTTTAAATTTATCAATGAGAGCATGTTTTTTGGTGTGTTTTTTTCCTGTAATTTTGTGTATAATGTTCCCAGAGGTGAGACCGCGGGCCATTTTCACGCATTCCAATCTCACCTCCGCAACCATGAACACACTCGCGTTTGTCTTATGACTCTATTGTTTTTATTCAGCGTCAGTATATGATAGCACGTTTCAGTATTAATATGATGGTCAGTGGTTCTTAAAATATGCATAAGTTAACTACTTTCGATGACGGAAACAGTAAGAAATTTGACCTTCTATATATAAATAAGTTTCATTACATTGGAGGGAACCATACAAAATGTTGATTCTTCTTCTTAAGTGGTCTGCGCTGACTGCGAACATATTAATGTCGACTCGATGGGCATGCAAACGAAGTCACACTATTAAGAAATTGAACATTGGTCTGTCCAGCTTTCTTGCATGTTTATAGAAAGAGCCGGAGAACATATGATATATAGTATTTCTAACAAAAATATCATACAGCACATGAGTAGTAATCCCTGTGGTTTCGAAAACGAAAAGAAGCAGGCATACCTTTTTAAATAAATAGGAGTAGGAATCTTTTTGTTTCGCGCATGTTTATATGTTCAGCGTGCAACTTATTCACGTAATTTTTATTTGTTCGTTCAACACGCCTAAAAAACTATTTTCTGAGCGAACTGTCTTGTTGAGGCACTAACACGTTCAAGGCGTTTTCTATTTTAACTGAATGAACCGTCTTAACTGCCGGTTTTCGATTAAAGAGGCTATTGTTATAATAGTCAACGGGTCCTTTCGATGAAAAGTTCTGCTCACGAATGTCCCTATCCAGAAAGTAGGAAATTTTATTTGCGCACCAAATTTAATTGAGAAGTTACCTCAGAAAAACCAAACAAAAAACAGGTTTTTTTAATCAACGACAACTTCTTAAAAACCAGAAAAATTAATTAACGTTTTGAATAGTTATAATGCTGAACTCTTACTCAAATGATCCG